ATTGGGATATGTGAGATTTGGGAAATTTGAGAATTGGGATATGTGAGGTTTAGGAAGTTTGGAATTGGGATATGTGAGATTTGGGAAATTTGAGAATTGGGATATGTGAGATTTGGGAAATTTAGAATTGGGATATGTGAGATTTGGGAAATTTGGAATTGGGACATGTGAAATCTGGGAAATTTGAGAACTGTGATATGTGAGATTTGGGAAATTTGAGAATTGGGATATGTGAGATTTGGGAAATTTGGAAGTGGGACATGTGAAATCTGGGAAATTTGAGAACTGCGATATGTGAGATTTAGGAAATTTGAGAATTGGGATATGTGAGATTTGGGAAATTTGGAATTGGAATATGTGAGATTTGGGAAATTTGGAAATTGGAATTTGCGTGAGTAGAAAAATTTGCAAACTTGAAATCACTCTGGGACTTGAGAACATAGGAAGATTGCTATTTTAGAATTTTTAACTCCACAACTAAATTTCTGGATTCATAGACTTCAAACCTTGTAATATAAAAAAATTCAAAGTGTGCTCCATAAAATTACCTGCTACGATGTTGTATAAAATCTACAACTCTGTGTACGCTGACAAAAATTTACAAAACCCTAACAAAATATAGAGTAGAATAAAACAAGCTTGACAATTATCTACCTACTCAATGATTGAATAAATGTGACGAATAAAAATGTATAAACTTGCTCTTCGTCAACGAAGACTTCCAGCAGGAAAAGAAACATGACGCAACATGGTCGATATTTTGGGAATAATTGTTTTCGGAGGAAAAGAAGCGAGGTGATAGATGGACGAGACATGGAGAAACAGTCGCGTGGAATGTTTTCTGTGTAAGTTATTGCTCTGCTCGTTGTAATCCACTTGTTACACTTTGTGATTTAACGCGGTCTGTTTCGACGGTATTTCTCACCTATAGCTATTTCAAAATATCCCTTTCTTTTTTCATAAAGAAATATACGAGTTGTTTAGCGACACGTCTCTTCTCATTCATCCTTCATTGTGCAACTTTGTTTCAAGTTTTAACATTATTTGGGCTGGCAAATATTCCGGACTGAAATTCCTTTTTGTTATTAATTTAGAGATTATTTACCACTCTTGGCAGACGATCAAAGATCAGTAAAGATAGATTAACATCGTAGCTATGAACTTTGTATTGAAAAGGATTAATTTGCACTTTGTATATCAAGTATAAATGTAAATTAAAGATACTGATAAAAAGATATAAATCAAAGATATTGTACACAGATAAATATGAAGCGTATATCAAAGCACTAATTATTGACAATTAATCTACAACTTTCAAGATTAACTTTGCAACACTATATCAGTACCTACGGTTTCTGCATTTATGGCACATTAAAATCAACAACTTAAACATAAATCATGTATCCAATAGACTGGATATCACCGATTACATGCTCTATTTATACCTTTAGACCTCAATATATCATACACGCATAAACATGTGCAGTCTAATTACTAGTATAGTACAACACTAACTGTATTCAAAGTATGCAACTTCCTCTCCGTTATTAATTGTTCAATTATACAAAACATGAAACCCCAACCACCAACTCTCATGGCAATCATGTCGATAAAACACTTTTGAATTTACACTTCATTCCTGCATAACCAGGTTCTGAAGGATTACTATTTAAAACTGTTAGCGTCACTTTTCGAAGCGTAACTTCACATTAATTCTCTATATGGTCCATTAAAGGTTAACAGATTTATGGTCAATGGCCACTTATATTTAAATTGAAACCAGACTGTAATGGATGATGGGTAAACTAGCTTATAAAATAATTTTTTACTTCGATATAATATACATTTGTTGACAGACATTTTGACAAAACCTTCTCAATAGTTCTCATCATTAGAGATAAGGGATCTAAGATCCGATTTTGAGTTCCATAAATTTAGCGTCATCGTAATGTAGTGTTATTATCAATCACATGGTCCATTAAAGTTTAACAGATTCACGGTCAATGGCCACTTTTGACTAGCTTACAAAATAATTCTTTATCTTCATACAACATACATTAGCTAACATACATTGTGTCAAAAGCTTCTCAATAGTTCTCATCATTAGAGATAAGGAATCTAAGATCCAATTTTGAGTTCCACAAATTTAGCGTCATCGTAATGTAGTGTTATTGTCAATCACATGGTCCATTAAAGTTTAACAGATTCACGGTCAATGGCCACTTTTGACTAGCTTACAAAATAATTCTTTATCTCCGTACAACATACATTGTGTCAAAAGCTTCTCAATAGTTTTCACAATTGAAAATAAGAAGTCTAAGATCCGTCATTTTGAGTTCCACAAATTCAGTGTCACAAAAGTGTCACCTCGCTACGAACACATCAATCCAAATAATTCAGAGTGCAAGTCAATTTGTAAATATCTTAAGAGCAAAACAAGACCATATACCAAATGCAGATCGTACAACCGATCGACTACAACCCAGACCTCGAAGACGTAACCTACATCCTCGAAGCGTATTTCCGCTCGTTCTGTCGGCGATAAGCGGGGACAAGTTTCCATGTCGTCACGGATCGTCATTGTACTTGTCTCCGCCATGCTACGACCTTGACGAGACATTTCATAGGAGGATGACGATCGCTCGCGGCTACTCGCGCGTGAAACGCGATTTTCTTCGAGGTGGATTAATGCGAAACCGATCAAGCACGGTTGTAAGCAGAGAGAGAAACAGAAGGCACAAAGAGAGACAGAAAATGGCAATTATGCTCGCGACAGGCCGGCTAGCAGCGTTATCGCGGAGCGTTGTCAACCGCGGAAAACCGACGACGCACTGCTGCAACCAGGCTGTGCAAACACGCCACCAATTACGTACACACCTATCGATACTCGAAGACCAAACTCGTTACGCTTTCTCGTAAGCGAGAAAGAGAGTACGCTGGAACGATTTTCGCGGTGCTCGATCGCGATAATTAGACACCGCCGCGGGTGCATCCGGATCATTCGGAGAAGTAGCGTGAAGAATGAGGAACATCGTGTACTTATCTTCATGGTGTTAATTTTATGGGAGAATTGCTTTCGGCGCATTTACCGAACCAGGCTTGTTGCTACTCTTACGGCGTTTACAACGCTTGGCTGCTTCGTTATGGATACTCGTTTTAAACGTTTGCCGCTTTACACCTTACTACATATTAGTAAAAAGAATAATTGTATGTTGTGAGAACAAGTAGAAATAAGTAATATTTTATGAGAATGAATAGTGAATAAATACCAAAGGAGTAAGTAAGGGAGAAGTTTAATAAGTTCTGTTCAAACAGTATCGTTATTAACGTCGAGTATTTGCCCTCAGTTCAGCAGTTAACCCTCTGAACTGGGAAAGTGACTCATTCGGGTTAATACAAGTTGAAATATTTTTTAATTACTTCTATAGTATCATGTGATGTATGAACATAGTAACATACGGTAGTTAATAATAGTAAAATAGTAATTTCATAAAAATTCATCGAACTTTTCAAAATTTTTGAGTCCTGTCAAAAATATTTTAAAACGCAAAGAGCTAGTGTCACTTTCTTAAAACAACCCAATTTTCAAAGTTAGAAATTTACAAATATTTACATCTCTCGAGATTTTTGAATTCCCAAATTTATATCACTTTGAACATATGTATTCTATAATTTTGTCAAACATTTGCTGCAGAATTTGTATCAGATTATTTTCGAATTCCTAAAGTTATAGCATTGAAATTTCTAACAACGTAAGTGGTACACGTATTAGAGGTTTTGTAGAATTCTATTGTATGTAGATTGGAATATTATTTGTAAATATAAAAGAATTCTTAATACATTAATTAATTCGTGGTAAAAGAAGCATAAAAACGTTACACATTCGAGAATCAGTACCTAGGTATATACAACTTCATGCTCCAAAAACACCCTACTACCAATTAACACGTTCGGTACCAGCATTCAATTGGAAATTCGTTCATCATGAATCACTTCCTCTGTTATAAACATGCGATAAAGTAATACGTATAATTTTAGACCATTACAAAGTGGACTGTTCTGTTACGTTCTATTAGTTTCAGACAGAATTTCTACGGTCATTTCGCAATTATACAAAATTTAATATATTAGATGAATATACTATTTATTTAAGTAATTTTTGCGATAACATTTTTTATGATATATTTGGGAAATTTTCAATAAGGTCCCTTGTGTTTTAGTTTATTGCATACATGATAGTTAAATCGACTTTTAAATAATTTTAATAAAACTAAATAATGTACGAGTGTATCTTGGTTTGGTAAAAGAAATTTTCCTGTATATGTATGGACGAGTAAAATATAATAAAATCCCACGCTAAAAATAGAATAGTTACTTAAAACATTTGTCTGAGTAGCAAGGGGTTTAAGCGATGTGTGGGAATATTAGAACGAGATAAGATTATCAAATATCTACACAGATGTTTATACTTGTACATTTTCGTCACTTTCTTCCTGAATGTGCTTGTGGATCTATGAGTCGGAAAGCTATTAAACTAGCAATTTATTATTGATTTATAAAACTTAATATCCTAAAAATTCACTGTCAAAGACTTCAGGACAAACGATTAATATATTCGCATGTGTTTTCATCCTGTGAACGCTAATAAAAACTTGATACACATTTCCTATCTTTTCATCCACAATAAAAAATTTCCCCTTTTTCATCCAAGCTGCCCCTATAAAACCGCCCTCATGTCTTGCATACTACGCATAGTTGCGCAATGCGTTCCGCTGGCCCTGAACATCACCTACGCATGTGACACAGTACCAAAAGTGTCAAAATAAAAATTTCCATTAACGAAATTCGCTGAAATTCTCCGAAACGAACACATACCTTACATCCAACGCCGTTCGTCCGAGAAGCTACACTCTACCAACATCGCATATGAACAAGTACACACACAAAGCACTGTTGACCAACCGAGTTAGTCCTCCAAGACACGACACTCATTGCTCCGAAAATCCTTCATACGCACAATCGATCACAAACGTCGAACATTCACGGACGAACGAAATTATAACATTCGCGGATGAACGAATTAGATCAACTAGGTACCCAAAGGAGCATACCGCGTAAACAACCGCGAAAGAATGACGGCCTAAAACACGAAAGGATTTTTCCGCGGAGGTTCGCGTGGTGGTCGCAGCACGGTTCAGAGAGAACAAGTAACCCGTCGCGATCGTGTTCGGTGTCCGTCCGCGGACTACTGTTGGTCTAGCTGGCAGACACGTGGTGGCTCCGGAACGTCACATCGGGTATCACGTGTGCGACGTTCACCGGGGAACGGTTTGCTCGCGAGCACAGGTAGTATCATGATCGCGGGCAAGCGGTATCTCTCTCTCGGGCTGTCATCGATGATCCGCGCGACTCCGCGTCAGAGCTTCCGAACTTTTCAAAATTTTTGAGTCCTGTCAAAAATATTTTAAAACGCAAAGAGCTAGTGTCACTTTCTTAAAACAACCCAATTTTCAAAGTTAGAAATTTACAAATATTTACATCTCTCGAGATTTTTGAATTCCCAAATTTATATCACTTTGAACATATGTATTCTATAATTTTGTCAAACATTTGCTGCAGAATTTGTATCAGATTATTTTCGAATTCCTAAAGTTATAGCATTGAAATTTCTAACAACGTAAGTGGTACACGTATTAGAGGTTTTGTAGAATTCTATTGTATGTAGATTGGAATATTATTTGTAAATATAAAAGAATTCTTAATACATTAATTAATTCGTGGTAAAAGAAGCATAAAAACGTTACACATTCGAGAATCAGTACCTAGGTATATACAACTTCATGCTCCAAAAACACCCTACTACCAATTAACACGTTCGGTACCAGCATTCAATTGGAAATTCGTTCATCATGAATCACTTCCTCTGTTATAAACATGCGATAAAGTAATACGTATAATTTTAGACCATTACAAAGTGGACTGTTCTGTTACGTTCTATTAGTTTCAGACAGAATTTCTACGGTCATTTCGCAATTATACAAAATTTAATATATTAGATGAATATACTATTTATTTAAGTAATTTTTGCGATAACATTTTTTATGATATATTTGGGAAATTTTCAATAAGGTCCCTTGTGTTTTAGTTTATTGCATACATGATAGTTAAATCGACTTTTAAATAATTTTAATAAAACTAAATAATGTACGAGTGTATCTTGGTTTGGTAAAAGAAATTTTCCTGTATATGTATGGACGAGTAAAATATAATAAAATCCCACGCTAAAAATAGAATAGTTACTTAAAACATTTGTCTGAGTAGCAAGGGGTTTAAGCGATGTGTGGGAATATTAGAACGAGATAAGATTATCAAATATCTACACAGATGTTTATACTTGTACATTTTCGTCACTTTCTTCCTGAATGTGCTTGTGGATCTATGAGTCGGAAAGCTATTAAACTAGCAATTTATTATTGATTTATAAAACTTAATATCCTAAAAATTCACTGTCAAAGACTTCAGGACAAACGATTAATATATTCGCATGTGTTTTCATCCTGTGAACGCTAATAAAAACTTGATACACATTTCCTATCTTTTCATCCACAATAAAAAATTTCCCCTTTTTCATCCAAGCTGCCCCTATAAAACCGCCCTCATGTCTTGCATACTACGCATAGTTGCGCAATGCGTTCCGCTGGCCCTGAACATCACCTACGCATGTGACACAGTACCAAAAGTGTCAAAATAAAAATTTCCATTAACGAAATTCGCTGAAATTCTCCGAAACGAACACATACCTTACATCCAACGCCGTTCGTCCGAGAAGCTACACTCTACCAACATCGCATATGAACAAGTACACACACAAAGCACTGTTGACCAACCGAGTTAGTCCTCCAAGACACGACACTCATTGCTCCGAAAATCCTTCATACGCACAATCGATCACAAACGTCGAACATTCACGGACGAACGAAATTATAACATTCGCGGATGAACGAATTAGATCAACTAGGTACCCAAAGGAGCATACCGCGTAAACAACCGCGAAAGAATGACGGCCTAAAACACGAAAGGATTTTTCCGCGGAGGTTCGCGTGGTGGTCGCAGCACGGTTCAGAGAGAACAAGTAACCCGTCGCGATCGTGTTCGGTGTCCGTCCGCGGACTACTGTTGGTCTAGCTGGCAGACACGTGGTGGCTCCGGAACGTCACATCGGGTATCACGTGTGCGACGTTCACCGGGGAACGGTTTGCTCGCGAGCACAGGTAGTATCATGATCGCGGGCAAGCGGTATCTCTCTCTCGGGCTGTCATCGATGATCCGCGCGACTCCGCGTCAGAGCTTCCGACTGGCCAGAAGTACAGACAGAAACGAGACTACGCGTAGTGACGGGTACGCGCGCGCCTGCCGAGTGTGCGTGCGTGCACGTGCGTGTACCAGACGAACAGGACCAAGGGAAAAAAAGGACGGGACGTTGTCGAAGAAGCGTGCGTGCGTGTGCGCGCGAGGGACGCGTGTGCGTGCGCCGGTGAATGTGTGCAGAGAAGCGTATCCTCCTGTCGAGCATGAAGCGGACGAGAGCGTCGAGCTGTCAGCGCACCCCACCCCACATCCTCTCTCTCCCCTCGACAACCAACCCCTCCTACTCCAACGAACCCCACTCCCGTCATGGAGCTTTCCCGAGGCTATCCCCACCAACCCTCGCACCCTCGCTTAGTCCAACGCCCCGTGCAACCCTCCAACGTTGTCGGAACGACGTCGAAGAAAACCGAACGAAACGGGAAACCAGCTACGAACACGCTGGCAATTTTTACGCCATCCGATACTATGCTTTCCAACCTGTGTATCATTACGACAGGGAAACTCGCTGCTTTTGTCGCACGATTTTCAAGTCTCGGGGTGGCTTTCTTCGGAGATGGACCTTGGCTTTGGGTTACAATCCAGATTCGAAGAAATTTCCTTTCGACTAAATTTAAGGGTGAATTGTTCCGATTGTACCCACAGACTATCTGATTTTTCTTTCATTTTTACCTAGGTTAGAGGAATGGAGTCGATCGATAAAACCTGTTCCTATTAAGCGAATTCCCTATTAACTTACTCAGACCCAAGTTCCGAAAAGAATGTATAACTCATTCAGACAAATTTCATAGAATATATCTGAGAATTTTGATACTAAACCCAGCACATATTTGGTAACCCAGGTAACCAAAACTGCGCACCGCAAAAACGAAGAAAACCAGGAATATATTTTCGTTTCAGAAATGACTCAAAGTAGTCGTCCTTGAGAATATGTGTTTTTTCGTCACCGTTTAGCGGTCACGGTACGAAAATTTCCGTGACGCCTGGATTCGCACTTCCTCCTCCTCGCTCGCGGTCTGCTCGCCGGGGGAAAATAAAACAAAAGAAGATTCGAGCTACAAATTTTCCGTTTTCCTCGGTGATTTACAACTTTCGTGAACAATTACGTGGACCGCGTCCATCGTGTTCCACCGACGTGGTTCCTCGTCAGCGAGCCGACATTTTATCATGATTATGAGGGGTGGGTTTTGGTCACGCTTCGATGCGGCGAGGGTGGACACGAACGAAGTCGAAAGCGAAGTAGAAGGGCGAAAAAGGGCAGTGGAGACGTTGTTTTAGAGGGGGAATGGTCGGTGGTAGCCACGAGGTAAGCGAGAGTTATGATCCATCTACGTCGTTGCAAGCGCGAAAGGACCCAGGGTATGCTTTTCCGGCATCCGTAACTACGCGTTTCTTCCATATACTCTATTTTCCCTTTGTTTTGCGTTTTATTTCCTTTCCGTTCATCCTTTGTTTTCTGTCGTTCGTTTCGCGACCGAACTAAATTATTAGATCACATAAGTCTACGTCATCGAACCATGAACTACCCTTCGCACTACCAGTTCGGCCGTATCAGGTTAATAATCGAACAAGCACAACTATAAATTTAATTATTCGATGAAGAGAAATATGACACAATGCAGTATTCTCTGTCTCATCTGAACTCTGCACTGTACATACTAAATGCATCAGACATACTACTAAAATGAATCAGAAAAAATAACACCTTAGAGAATAAAACGAACACAGATAAAAATGAAACGAAGAAAATAGTAGCTTATTGTTGAAAGCACAGTTCCTCTTCCGCTGTCCCCGATTTCCTGTTCACCCCCACTATCAAACTGTGACCAAGAGCCACCCCATCAGCAGAGAGAACATCAGTCGGCAGTTGGAGGGTTGGTTCGCGACTCAGCTTATGAAAAGCCATCGTCTGGGAACGAATGTGTGCACACGTGTCCGCTAGTGCGTGAGCATGTGTGCGTAAAGCAAACTGTGGATCCAAGAAACTTGTCCCAGGAGACGATTGAACGGTCCGCCATTGGCGGAACAACCGGAGGCTGACCTTTGGGGAAGCGAATAAGCGAAGGGTTCTGATTACCGCCGAAACGGATCCCATTGTCCTTGCGAACGAAGGGTCCGTAGCTTCTTTGTCGTGAAATTTGCCGCGAGCATATTGACTCGATTGCACAAATATCGCGCCGTTACGTTTTTTGTCCCCGCTTCTTCTCGCCTCCCTTCAAGATTGAGGAAGACGGTGCCCGCAGTACACGAGTTTATTGCTCGCGACTCCGACATTTGTTCTCTTATCGCTCGTTCCCATCGCGCTCTCGTTTGTACATCAGTTAATGCAAGACGTTGCGTGGGAGAGATACATCGCTGAGGACAAAAAATTGATTCGGTCTTTTGTGTCGACGGCGAGATTCTGGGAAGATTCGCGTGTTCGAACTTTGGGTTAAGTTTGAGTAAACTGACTGTTTAGTTAGAGATACACTAGCAAACTATTTACGCTGAATTCTTTGGTCTCCAAAGATGACTCAACATTTGATTTAGTTCAACAATTTTAATATGTATGTTTCAATTAAATACTCTTATATATAACATAGTGTATCACTGAATCTACAGTGTTATGTATAAATACCTAAATTGATAGCTCTACTGGTGGTCAAAATAATACATTCACTTTTAGCTAGCATACTGTAATAGGTAATAATTTGTGCCCTTAACACTATCACATGGAAATGTTTAATACTAGTATAAATTCTTTTAGTGAAAAGAAACTTCAATTGTCCCAAGTAAGTTTCGTTGTTCTGGATTCAGGATAAAGAAAGATCGGTAGCAGTTGTCGAAAGAAGGGTAGTCGTCACCAGACGGCAAGCACATCGCTGTAATTCGAGCCATGCAATTTTTCTCCTTCCGCGGCATATTTTTGAACAGCCGTTCCTCGGCGAGGGATCGTAGTTGGGCGTTCTCCCGGAACATCGTCGTATCGAAACGATCGAGGCAATCAGGAGGAACGGTCGATGCGCGTTCGAACGAACAGACCGGCTGACTCGTTGTTGCGTTGCTGGTCAG